ATCAAAACCTGCAAGGAATTGACGGTATAAATGGCACCTCGCATTATACAGTTATCTACTCAATTTTGGTTCCGCTGGTCCTATTTGTCATGGCATATGCTATATTGAGATTCGGAAGGAAGTGGTGGACAACAAGACCAATACGCACGCCACAGCAGCAACATCTGGCAGCCCAGGGAGCTGGATCGTCAATTGTGACAACCAGTCGGAGTCAAGACAGTGTAGTGAGTGATACAGTGAATAAAAGTGGTGTGAGTGCGCGACACACCGCTAAGTCAATCTCTCGCGAAAGTAGTGGTTCAAGACTCGGTGTACATAGGGCTACGTCCCCAATTATGAACAAGACAATTAAATTTGATAATTTACCTGAACCTTAATCGTAGTTGGCTTAATTTTTAACTAATCTATTTTTGTATTTTTTTTTTTTGGTGGTATTTCGTTGTTGGCAATATGTACAAGCCATTTTCATTATATTTTGTTTGTTTGCATTTTTAACTGTCGAGTGTTATTGCCAAATCGGCCTAATTAATATGTACATTTTATAAGCGCATGTTGGACAGTGCATTAAAAGCATTCAACCTGTATTGACGTATAATTCATTTGACAAAACTCTCTCTAATTAATCTTCCCGTGACATTCTATTGACATTCCTCTTGTGTGAGCTATTGCAGGCTCGCACAATATTAGTTTGATGTTTTGTTTGTTTTACAGAGTTCACACGTTGGGCCCAATGTTTGATTGTTTAATATCGTTGATACCTATAGCGTTTTTATTGGGTTTTATAAGAAGAGTTTTCGTTGTTACCAATTGTCAGGGTGAAAACCTACTAACTAAACCCCATCTGAAAATAATTTTAGGTCAATGTTCTTTAGGTCAAAAATTCCTTGAATAACAGGCAACTATTTATTTGATTAAAACAAATATATTATAACAAAATAATTAAGTATGGGACAGCTACGATTCGGCATGAATGGGCAGCTCGATCGAAGTAGGACTTTTTTTTTAAGGGGGGAAAATCATCGGATGACTGCTCCCGCCTGGGTGAGGCGGGAGGGAGTGTCAGACTCTTACTGACTAAAAACCACCCCGTTCCTTCTCCTGCACGTCGAGCCGGAGCCCCGGTTACCCGTTAGGTTCTCCGCGACATCGAAGTAGGATACCAGGGTCTCGTCGAAAATCGACGTGGAACAACGTTTGCGTTGTGTTTCGTCGAGTGAATGAGGTTACCGGAGGCTCAATTACCCCCCTCCTCAGTCTCTAAATTCCCAATAGTCCTCAAACTCCTAAGTCCACTAGTAAAGCCTCTGATGTTTCGGGTGTCCATGGGCGGCATCGATTGCTTACCATCAGGTGATTTGTATGCATGTGTACTGTCTTATCGCAGGAAAAAGTAAAAATGTTAATAAGTTACATAAATACCGTCAATCTAAAACCAAACATCAGGCCAATACATTGGCCATCTTCAGTCATCAACACCAATATTGGCGCCAACACCACAACTTGTGTGACAGGTTGAAATTGTTCGTTGCTATTAACACGTTAAGTTCGTGTCCCAAAGCGATATCGTTGCTAAATATTAAATCACTAGCTTCTGCCCGTGACTTCGCCCGCGTAGAATAGTGACTTCAGAGGGCAAAGCACGAATAACTATCGCATTCGTATCTTAACAGTATCGAGCGAGTTAAGCGTTCTGATTGGTTGGTTCACTTGAGCCAGCCAATCAGAGCGCCGAACGCACTCGGTACTATTACGTTACGAATGCGATAGTTATTCGTGCTTGGCACTCAGGTCCTCTCCCTCCCCAAAGATTGGCAACTTATGACTTTTTTAGTGACGGACTTACATTTGTTAGATGTGTGTTTCCGGAGACATTTTTGTAAACATTTGTATACATAATAACTATCGTGAGACATACTAAATTAACCAAAAACCACAGATTACTCACTTGAATATACTGAGAAAAGCTCTACTAGTTTCGAACGACAGAGGGGTTCTTCCTCATGAGCAGCGTGCGCGGTCGCGGCGAGGTCATGCAGCCTACTGTCATTTTGTATATTCACATGAAAAATCCGCGATTTTTAGTTAATTTGTAAATATTATTGAAATGTTTAATATTGTAAAACATTGTTTTATTCTTTCATCAATACTTTCCACAGCATACGCAATGAAAGACATTTATTAAGAAAAAAGAATTAAACTACTTTTAATGTAGCCTATGCTGTTTAGTACAAATACAGCTTTTTTGAGTGAAACCGTTACAAACATACATACATACAAAAACAATATATTTCCTCTGTATAATATTCGTATAGATTAAGGTTTCTAGCTCAGATAACACATAGCTCACCGTCCTTAATGGGTTCGTGATTTAACGAACTTCAAACTTTGTGGGCGATGTTAATCAATATATTGCACGTTGAGATATTGGGGCTGTTGCATGGAAAGAGATGTACTTTATACCTAATACACAGACAGTATCTGCCATACTGATGTCTTACGACAGGACATCGTACAACACTGTATTATTGTTTTGTTTTGGATTGAGGACATTCTTATAAATAATCTGCGACTGCACGGTTGGTGCGGTGGCTGGGCAACCGGCTGCCGTGCAACGTGTCGCGGGTTCGATTCCCGCACGGAACAACACTTTGTGTGATCCACAAATTGTTGTTTCGGGTCTGGGTGTCATTGTGTATGTGAACTTGTATGTTTGTAAACGCACCCACGACACAGGAGAAAATCCTAGTGTGGGGCAACGTTTTTTTTTTTAAAAAAAAAAATTATCTAATTGTTTTTTTTTTGTAAACATATTGCCTCATATTAGGATATTCTCCTATGTCGTGGGTGCGTTTACAAACATACAAGTTCACATACACATGACACCCAGACCCGGAACAACAATCTGTGGCATTAACAACAATCAGTTAGTGTTTTTTACTATGGCAGATGTATAACTGTAAGGTATTAAACTTAGGATAGGAATATATATTTTTATAGTAAACGGGCAGAGCAGACGGATCACCTGATGGTAAGCAATCAGCGCCGCCCATGGGTACCCGAAACGCCAAGGCCGGCCTTTTGGGAATAGGGAATTTGAGGATTGTGAGAAATAAACAAATTTATGATTCACTGTATATATTCATCACATTTTATAATCAATAATTCCATGTACATTAGAGATTTTCAATTATTACAACATTTATAATGGTATAATCTGTGAATTTAATTATAATTATTACAACACGCCAAAAATTCGTAAAATGTATTTGAATAAAATAATTTATTAAATAAATAATAACTATCTTAATACACTACAACATTCAATTTTTCAATAAATAAATAAATAATTGTTTCATTAAATTTGAATAATTATTATTTTAAATTTTTGAATAATAACTTTATTATTTTAATACAATTTGATAGTTGCATCAGAATGCAACAATTGAAGAATTTTAAAATACAAGAAATAGGAATAAATATACATTGCAAATAAGATACAGAGTTGCCCAGTGTTTACGTTGCATTATGAGAATTAAAACATTTAATGTTTTTCTTTTTTCTGCAACGTAAATAGAAGGCAGCATCACAACCCGTTGGGGCATTGAGGTTTTATCATGAAGAGTTTGTATACCACATTATAAGGAATGCTATAAGATATCCTATGAGATACACTAGAAATAGATACAATATAATTTTCTACTGTGTGTATAATAGAATTTTGTCTCATGTCTTCCCTCTTTAGTCTTGTAGTTAAGTAAGTATAATTAACTACATTGAAAAGACAAGCGATTAGCACAACACCGAATAGTCAAATTATTATATTTATATAATTCAAATTCTCATTTAATTATCACACTCGTTTATATAAAAGAACTAATATTGTCAGTGGCACCTTGGTTTGTAACTGCTTACAATTTCACTTTGTACCTACAGAGAAAATACAACCTCATTATTTCGTCATACCTCTTATTTCACTGCGCGACTTAGTATTTAAATATAGGCCAATATTTTGTGGATGCAAATAATTATTTCGTTAACAACCTGTCAAAATAATAATCATGGCACTCTAAAACTGTAAGCACTTACAGAATTTTAAACTTCTTCAGTCTAAAATACATTTAAAATTGACCCTGCGGTAAATAATTTTGAATGTAATCGCTGTCCAACAAACCAACGTCTAATAAAATATAGCATTTTAATAAATAATTTCATTTTAATTGACTCTTTTAAGCCGCTAAAATATAATAATTGCAAAGTGTAAATTGCAAATAATTGACTCCTAAGACGCTATGATTACTATTGGACTTTTAAAATAATTATATAATTTTAAATTTAATTTTATTATTACAATAATTCTATTCATAAGACTTGTAATTTAAACTATAAAATAAGCAAAAATAATTATCATTTGCCTTACTAGTGTCAATTCAATTCCGCACCTATTTCTACCATTGCTGTTTTATTTGGTGTTATACAATACAATGAGGAAAATTCCAAAGAATTAGTAATAGGAATATAGATAAATATTATCTGTTTAAGAACTATTTTACAATATCAGAAAGATTCCACTACACTTGGATGAATCCGATTATAATTTGTGAGCTTTTAGCTGACAGAAGTACAACTAGATACAATATTATATTATTAGATTATAATTATGAGCAAATAGACAACATATGAAATACATAGAGTCAGAATTATAGATAGTATCTACAAGGCACGCAAATAAATTTTCTAGACAGCCACATTTAATTTTAATTTTATTAATTTTATCAATTATGAAACAAGCAAGATCTTTTTTACTAAGACTCGTTTATCTATTCCTTGTATAAGGACAAAAAATAATTTATAAATATTTAATAATCACTCACGTTTACAATATATTTGACAACTTTAAGCATCATAATTGAATAACTAAATAATTATATTTGAATAATTACTTTTACAATCTAAATAATATTAAAATTTTGAATAATTGTATTATTCAAAAAACAGCCGTATATTATGTAACCTTTCGTTCCATTTTATTATAGTTTAAAGTCTAATTGTTACAATTTTATTATACGTATATATTAAATAATGAAATGTTATATTATAAATCAGCTTCTCATTTGAAGTGGAACCCAACGGATGCGACGAGTGAATTATGTAATTACATATATTTTCCTGGAAATAACAATAATAATTTAAATAAAATCTTATATAAATGGAAATTTCGATGACATCAAGTGCATAATAAAACTATATATCACACATAAAACACTCTTCACCTAATTTTTAAGTGCTAAAAATATAATTATTTTAGTAAATACCACGACGCAACTATGTGTGTGCTAGTGATGTGCAATAATGCACATTTTGTGAAGTGTATTTATTGTGAATATTTCATGCTGTATACAAAAGTGATAAAATTGTTTAAATTCTATATAATAATTGTATAAATACAATACAATTTAAATGTGTGTTAAATATTGAAATATTACAAAGTGTGTTATAATTTAAATTATTATTCAAAATTGCGTAACTACGTTCTAGTCTTGGTGAGGAATTTAAAAATCGTACTGGAATGGAAGGTGGTCATTCAATTGTAAGGATTGCTCAGTTTAGCTAATGAGTGAAAATATTCTGTGGAAGCATTTGAATATGTAGTATGTATGTATTGGGAAGCTGCGTTATTGATACGATCACAAAAGGGGTTACAAAAGTACAATTATTATTCAAAAAACGTTTTTGAACTCTTTGCATAACAAATATTGGGCGTTTGCTCTGCAAAGAGTATGGTTAATAAACGGATTTTTGTTTGGGAAGCAAATGATATCATATTATTGAAATAAAAGTATTTTTGACACAAAATATTACAGATTAAAAACATAATATGTTGTTATCATAAAACATATTTGATTTTAGTTTCAAGTCGATTAAATCAGAATTAAAAATACACACATGATTTTTATTGGTTTGATCTGATTTTTTGATTCTGCTATTGTATTACCAGCTAGTTTGTAATGTACCGATATTATATATTCTTCAAAAGAGTCTATATGTTAACTTGCACAATGAAACAGTAGAATCACTTGAAAGACAACCGCTAATAGATAATTACAAAATCCAAATCCAGATCACCAATTAATACATTAAATCAGAATTTTACTTACCAACTCCCATTAAAACTCTATTTCTACAAGCTCTATGAGGCGAGAAGAAAAGAAAAAAGAGGAGAAGAAAGAGAAGAAATAAAAGGTATCTATTACTCACAATGGCCACTGTTGGCTGCCACAGTACTGTTACTAGTTGCTACGATCGCCGGCCCCGGATTAGGCGTCGAGTTTCGGTACCGAACTAACCAAACATTTGTTTAATGTTATCACCTGCAAAGAGCGGTAAGCAGAACATATGCGTCGAAGCATCTAGTTGCTACACTAGCTGTGATGTTCGTGCTTTGTTTTAGGAAAATTTTGTACAGAAATTTAGAAATTCATCTCCAAAAAGGTTTTGTTTTGGCCTGTGATGATCCTATCTAACCATCTGTTTTCAATGGTATTGCAAATTAGAGTGTAGAAGATTGAAGACAAAACAGTGATGTCTTGGTTATCCGTGCTTAGGTTGGTGCACTTTTTTCGAAATGGTGGTGATTTATTAACTGTTTTTTTGTAATCACACAGTGCAATGAATGCTGTTGTGTGAACTCTATTTGTAAAGATGTGCTGGTCTTTTAAACTCATGACGTATTTTTCATGATGTGGGATAAGAAAAACGGACTGTGAATATTATAAAAGTGTTATAACGATTGTTCAATGTTCATCGTAGGCCTTTGGAGGAGCTAAATAGTGACGCTATAGCTAGCTAAATAGTCATTTGGGATTCATTATAAGTCCGACTATACATTCTTACAGTTTTAAGGAACAGAAGGTATCCCAAACAGAATCACTTTTTGTTCGACTTCTATCTGTCAAAGTCAAAGCATTTATTTCAAATAATCCTTAATTAGCCAATTATGAAACGTCAAAATTGATTTGTCCGTCTGTCTGTATGTCAGTGGAGCTAGGCGCTCGTTCCAAAGTGTAGTTCTGAATGGAGAAGAACGAGCAAGAAACTCCATCGTCACTCTTTTCTACTAACTCTGCTTCTGTTCAATCTAGTGTATAATTTTGATTGTAACCAATGTTACAGTGAATGACAAAAATGTTACAAAGTCAGTAAATTTTGTAGGTTAGCATAGAATCCAAGAATTTGGAAGAAGAAAAGCCAATTGCTAATTTTGAACAAATCTAAGTTATTAGACATTCAGAAGTATAAGGAAGGGTCAGATGCAAACTAACAGTTTCCAGGCAATCACAGACGGTACGACACGTTGCTAGTGGTTGGAGACAGAACTTGACTGTTATGAGAACTACGTAAATTATATTACAGCTTTTCTTACAGCTAAAATAAGGTGCAATATCGTATCAATAATTAGGATCCTAATATTAGACCAGAATTTTTTTAGGTCAACGTACAACCCAACAAATGTTTGATTTATTATACATTGTTTTTCAGTCTGTCAAAAGTATTTGTACTATTTATTGGATACAAAATCATTCATTTGATTTGTTTAATTTTAAAATATTATCAAAAATGAGAATTTTAATAAAATCTAAAATGTTCACATATGCTTTGTTTTCGTTTTCAGTCATTCTAATTTGTTCACAGTCATCTACTTTACCCCTTACTTCAAGAACTTTGTCCAAATGTCTACAGATCTTCTAAAACCACCTTCAGTCAAGTTCCCCCTCATGCCACTGACATATAACATCGCAAGTAACACTGCTAAGCTTCACTTGACAACACCAATTCATTGTGTCTGTGTTCAATCCTGATACTTACCAAATAGTAGGCCTATTATGACGATCCCAATCACACCCATTATTATCATCATCTGTAATAGAAAATAAAGGAATTTGAACTCTATCGCCATCAAAGAAGAAAAGAAAGTTAGAAGTCGAAAAGAGGTTGCAAATTATAAGTATTTTAGCAGTGGATAATTCGTCACTACATTGAAAGACCCTTAACCGACGAGCGTGTATGAAAAGACTGATGGCTGTTGATGAAGCGTAAGAAGTATGTAAGAATCGTAGCAATTGGCATTGCATACCCTCTGCCTATCCCCATGGGAGACAGGCGTAAGGTTATGTACATACATTATTATAACTGCTCGTTTTCCGATGTAAATAAGGACATCATGTTTCAGCAAAATTGCATTTAAAGTCTTTTAAGATATTTTCCCCGAGTGAAATTAAGTATACAAGTACCTTTCAAGAATGTTTTGTTTCATTGAAGTGACAATAACAATAAAAGGGTAAAAATTATAAGATTGTTTAATTACCTTAAGATTTTGTAGCCAGAATTTGTTCTTCAAGCTCTTCGCTTGCTGTTCGAACTGTGATGCTCCGTACTGTAACGCATCTGTAGAAACATTTTAAAATTATAATCAAAAATTTAATCTAAACTCTACCATATATTCTCCATAATGTGAAATATTTTTCCTTGACTATGTTTAAGTCAAATCTTCAAATTGGTATCAGACACCCAAAATTAGGACATAGGATTATTGTACCTGCTCTGTCATCCAGTTCTGATAACTTCACATCTCGATCAAGCACCTTGTCCATATTTGTCTTCATTATGTCCACCACCTAGACCAGAGAGAAAGAATATCAATGCATCTTATTCATTTTAATGATCCTTCCAAGGATTGGCTTCAATGTTTTCTTATTTTTGGCTTAAATTACGGGTAGGGCAGTAGGTAGTGCAGACTTTATAAGACAATAAGAGTCTGCCAGCCTCCTTATCTTCTCGTTCTTAGATTCCATATATCCACATACCTCATCGACCTGAGCTTGAGTCTGCTGCAACCTCCTCTGAGCAGCAATTTGCTGAGGGGTGCGAGGTCCTCCAATGATCTCTCCATCGGGTCCAGTCTCGGCCTCCGGTGGGGCCAAACCTGGTTGAGCGGGTCCGGCTTCGGCTGCCCTGGAAAACGAAAGACCGGAAGGTCGTAGAAATTTTTGAAACAAAAGTACCTATTGCTTTTTTCTTTATTAAAGAGAAGTTGAAGTATATTATTACGTAGGGGGAAGTCCTGTAACGCCGGACGGCACCTAACGTCGGACACTTGTACTATCTCGATAACTAATAACGCGAGCGATGCAATTTTTACTAAAAATCTTATGTGTCTGCTACTGGGAGACTTCTCCTTAAAAGTGTCCGGCGTTAAGTGCCGTCCGGTGTTAAGGGACTTCCCCCTACTGCAATAATTTTCTAATCAATTTTATCATAAAATAAATCAACAACTGGCATCATACATCATTACCTACACATAATATTGCGTTGCTTTAACTGTCTTAAAATGACTATAAACAAATAAACGTTACAACCGAATAGAATAATAATATCCTCACCGATTAGCTCGAACAAAATTTTTGAGGTTTCCATTCAAGGTTCCGTTTCTAAATCATCATAAATAATTTAAACTCATGAAAGTATGTCAAACAAAATATTGAGCTAAGTAGGATAGGAACTTTGAAAACTTGCCAAATATTGTCAAGTTTGCTGGAAGCTTCACGTTCATAGTATGAGCTATCTTACGTAAAACCCGCAGTGGAAAACTAGGGTAAACAGCCAATGCGGTAAACGTTCAACAGCATGACATGGTGTTAAATTAATGGCGGTTGTTGACGCTTTTCATCGTAGCTATTAGGGACAATTTTTCTAGGACAAATCCGCTAATAGATTTTCTTAATCATTTCAATTCTTGGAAGCCTAAATGTTTTGGAGCCTTGAAAGACGAAATTGCAAATAAATGATTATTATTTATGAAAAATGTCAGCCGAGTGAAGTGGTAGGAAAAAGTTAAGTTCTTTACACGTCATAACAATAATTGTACGATGTTCCTCTTAATTGTGAAGTAATTTCAGATTATATTTACTTACTGTCCGTATAGACATTGAGTCTTTCCAATAAAGTATCTACCTACACCTAAAATAAGGTTAGTTTTCTATAAGTCTAAGTAAGTTTATTAAGTCTTTTTAAGACTGCCTCATTGGCCAAGAGGTACCAAGTGCGACTACTGAGCAAGTGGTCTCGGGTTCGATTCCCAGGTCGGGCAAAGTATTATTGGGTTTTTTTAAAAAATCTCAGTACTGGCACGGAGTCTGGAACTGGCTAGGCTCACCCCCTATTACATGGAACTCATAACATTAATACTGAAAAGTGTATGTTACATTGTTCAGTGGCGTTAAGTGCCGTAATGTACCCCTTCGACGAAAAAAGGCGTGAAGTTATGTTACTAAGTAAACTTTATCGTCACAATAGGGTAGATGCCTAATTTTTATTGTAATGTCAATCTGGTAGATTATTTTAAATCATTAGACACATATTTTTTATTTTCTTACAGAAACGAATACTTTCGGCGATATATTGATTTGAAATGTCGCGTGACTTTACTTCTATGTACATTTTATACGTAGAAATGACGTTTTAGCCCCACTCCTAAACTTTGATTCGTTTTATATAAGTATTGTTTTATTTTACGACAATATAAAAAATACGTGTCTAATATTTTTTCATAACCTTTCTAACTAACGGACTAATTATATTTTTAATTATCATACCCTGTTATCAACCCAATTGTAGTTCATTCTTTACACTTATATTTTAATCAATTGTGTTCAAGTACTAGTTGGTGCTTATTACCGCGATGGAGTCACGCTATACAGTCCTTTCTTTTGAACTAAGTGCAAACAAAGGTGGTGTTGTATAGGGGTCAATAAACCTTCATTCCTTTTTCATTATTTCATTGTTAAATTGTCGTCTGTTCGCCACTGTACCATTTGCTCCGAAGGAATAATTATGTTGTTATTGTTACTATTAGCAGTTGCCCGCGACTGAGTGATGAGTTTTAGGACATAACTCTTTTAGGATTTTTTTTTCAATTATCTGAGATAATAATAGCCTATGTTACTTTTAAGTACATAAGCTATCTGCCTAGGTATGTCAGAGGTTAGCCAGTATAAACAGACAGACAGACAGACAGATATAAATTGAAAAAGATGCTTTTTTGGTTGCGTAATCTATCGTAATACATAATACATCATGCCTTTTATCCCCGAAGAGGTAGGCAGAGGTGTACATTACGGCACTTAATGCCACTGCACAATGTAACACCAACTTTTCACTATTTATGTTATGAGTCTCATGTAAAAGGGGTGAGCCTATTGCCATAATACCGGGTACATTTCCAGACTCCGTGCTACTACTGAGATTTTTTTAAAAAGAGCCAGTAATACTTTGCTCGACCCGGGAATCGAACCCGAGACCCCTTGTCCGGCTGTCGCACAAGCAACCACTCGGCCAACGAGGCAGTCATTTGCATGTAGTAAACAGCAGCTATTATATTATTACAAACAGACACTCGAATTATATTTATCTATTGTATAAATGTATAGATTATAGTTTCAGACAGTACCTATTAGACAAAATAAATCTAATTAACATTTAACCAATATTAGAACGAGAACTATATAAATGAAACCGAAATTAATAAAGTATTTTCATGACAAACAAGCCTAATGACCGTACTCATATAATTAATATTTTGTTTGGTAACATAAAACTAGTTGAAGGTTAACGACTTTGTAAAAAGAAATTAAACGAAAACTATTAGTATTAACCTCATCTAGGGTGGCAATTATGACCCCCTGGGGTGGAAAGAAGGGTGAATGACTGGAAAATATTGAAAAACCAACACTATAATTACGTGTAGTGCAGGTAACCTAAACAATTTTCATTATAGTGCAGTTCCGGATAAGTTAATCGGGAAAAGGTAATAAAGTAGTGGGTACAATATGTGAGACTTACGCTTATAACCAGATTTCGTTAGTCCCGTAGCACAAATACAGAAAACCTTTCCTTATGCGTTCGGTGATATGATTGGCTGGCTCGAATGAACCAACCAATCAGAGCGTCGAACGTGGTCTTGTTACGATAACTTTAAATGTAAAAGAAACTCATACTATGCCTTCAGTAAGTACAAATGTATATAACATACATACATAACATCACGCCTTTTATCCCCGAAGGGGTAGGGAGAGGTGCACATTACGGCACTTAATGCCACTATACAATGTAACACCCACTTTCCACTATTTATATTACGAGTCCCATGTTATAGGGGGTGACCCTATTGCCGTATACCGGGTACAATTCTAGACTCCGTGCTACTACTGACATTTTTAAAGCCCAGTAATACTTACTTAGCTCGACCCGGGAATCGAACCTCGGCCAACGAGGCAGTCACTAGAAACAACTATAGATGAATACAACAAACTCCTTGACATTTCATATGACCGTAGCAAATTAACTAAAGCCAACGCGTTGTATGGTTGACATCACAAGGGAAAATCGTCAACCTTGTTGAATAATATAATAGTTCCTACAATGCATGTGAAACACACGTGGTTTCAGCATTTAACCTTGGTAATGAACCAAGAATATCGATTTTATAACGAGCGTTTGATTTATGCATATCGTTTTCACTTAACAAATCGATATAAGCCTTGTATTATTGCGGTCAGTTTTTTTTGGTTGTCTAAGGCCGATTGATTCTTAACACATTAGATGCCGTGTCGGAAAATTATGACTGACTCTAGCGGAGGATTAGCCTTTAACAGTTTTTATCGGCAGTTAAAGGCTTAAGAGGTATTTTCATTTACAGAAAACTGAGGACCGTTGGGGTAATGTGTTTAAGAGCGAGACTATGACTAGGCACATGTAATTTAGAGCGCACTCCGGTTAAGCGGAGTGATAATATTCGTATAGTGCTTGGCTCGTATAGTACCTATTGATGAAAGTATACGTCTATAATATTATATATTCAGTAGTAAACCTAATGATGATGAATGATGATGATGACGAGCGATTTTTACGGGCAGACTACATAAAACCCCTCTATGCTATTAAAATTACGAAACACCCTTAGAATACGCAAGTATTATTTAATTTAGAGAAAATTATATTCTCTTATAAAACCTTACTTTTCTACTCTCCTACAGAAAGGGATTGCGAGAAATGTACCTATAAATTAAATTATAAAAAAAATAGGACAAACCACAAAACGTAAAATAACACAATAAAGCTTATTTGCTGATGGGACCAATCAATAGGGAAAACATGGCAACATGCCAGTTGACGTCATTATTATGGCAAACGAGACAACCGCAGACTATGCGGAAATTTTCTACCAAATGCAGATATTGCAAGCATTTTTAGTTCTTGTTCTCTTTGTTTTTAAGGGCGAAATCATTCAGTGATTTACCCACCTTGGGTAAGAGGAGAGGGAGTATCAGACTCCTTCCTGACTAAAACCCACCTCGTTCTTACTACTGCTTCGAGCCGGAGCCCCGGATACCAACGGCTCCGTTTCAGTATGAGAAAAAGTAGGTACATGAATTAACTAAATATGACGAGATCCTCACGTAAATATACTGTGACAAGCTCTACTAGTTTCGAGTCACAGAGGATTTACGTGAGTAAGCCGTCGTTATGAGTTAATTTAGTATGTATCACGATAGTTATTATAAAAAAAGGTAGATATAATAATTATGACCCACTTTTCTCCAGTACTTTTTAGGCCATTTTTTTTTTTTAAGGGGGGAAAATCATCGAATGACTGCCCCCGCCTGGGTGAGGCGGGAGGGAGTGTCAGACTCTTACTGACTAAAAACCACCCCGTTCCTTCTCCTGCACGTCGAGCCGGAGCCTCGGTTACCCGTTAGGTTCTCCGCGACTCCGAATCGGCATCGGCCCTATTGGGCCCCATCTGTGGTGGTCTGATGGCTCTTTGAGGCGCGCGCGGAACGCGACGCGCCGTACGCTCGGGTCTGTTTCTGGTCGGACGGGGAGCCACCCATGCTCGCCGTCCGCAGGCCCGCGCTTACGGTGGCCGGAGATCGTCCCGCGATCCCCGACGCCCGGTGTGTCCTTCGCGATGGCTGGGTTGCGAGGAGGCAGCGCTTCGCTGCCTCACGCGTCCCGCCTCCTCCTTAGCTAGCATGACTGCTTCGCAAAAGGAGGAGACGGCATCCCAATCCCCCTCGCTCCGCATCATGGCCTGCACTAGGCCCGGACGCGAGAGGTCGCCATCGCCGATCACTTCCCTGAGGACACGGCGGTGCTCAGCCCACGAAGGGCATTCTCCCACCGTGTGTTCCACCGTGTCCTCAGGGCGGTCCTCGCAGTGATGACACCCGGGCGTTTCCTCCCGCCCCATCAGACACAGGTACCTCCCGAAACTTCCATGTCCGGTGAGGACCTGCGTCAGGCGGTAGGTGAGGACGCCGTAGCGTCTCTCAAGCCACTCCTCAAAGAGGGGACTTACCGCTGCGATGGCAGCGAGCCCAGCCCTCGGTTGCGACAGTCGTTGCTGCCATTCCGCCATGAGATCGCGCCGGAGCTCATCCCGCCACGCACTTATCTGGCGCGGCAGCGGAGTTTCGCCCCGGCGACGTGCCTCCGCGCGCATGCTGTGCACGCGCGCGAGCACCTTCGCCTCCAGATCCCACGGCGGTAATCCGGCAAGGAGGTTCGCCGACTCCCCAGAGATCGTGCGGTATCCGCGGATCATTCGGATCGCCATGACCCTCTGTGCCATGAGCAGCGTCCGAGCGGGACGCCGCAACAGGTTAGGCGCCCAAACAGGGGCGCCGTAGAGGGCCATGGACCGCACGACCCCGGCGTATAACCTCCGGCAGGAGGCGTTTGGCCCCCCGAGGTTGGGGAGGATGCGTTTAAACGCAGCCCCCGTCCTCTCCAACTTTGGAGCCAAACGTCGGAAGTGTTCAATGAAGTTCCACCGACTGTCGAGGACGAGTCCTAGGTACTTCATCGTCGTCTCGACGCCGATGGTAACTCCTCCCGCCGTTATTTGGGACCCACCCGGAGGTGGCGCGTTCCCGCGGCCATGAAAACACATGGCCTCGGACTTGTGGAGCGCCACCTCGAGTCCCAACTGCCGGATTCTCTCAACGACTGTCGCAACCGCTGTCGCCATTAAGTCGGCCGCCGCCTGGTGTGACCTCCCGTGCGCTAGCACCAGCGTATCGTCGGCGTAGCATATTGTGCTAACGCCGTTCGGGAGGTCGGTGCGCAGCACCCAGTCATAGCCGATGTTCCACAGGAGCGGCCCCAGAACCGAACCCTGTGGAACACCGCGTGACATCTCTCGCCGGTTCCACTCGCCCCGGTGACCGGGGTAGCTGACGGACCTGTCCGTCAGGTAAGCCTCGATTACACGACGGAGGTAGGTAGGCACCCGATGATATCGGAGTGCCTCCAAGATGCAGCTCCAGGGCAGGGAGTTGAAGGCGTTGGCGATGTCCAGAGACACCGCCACTACGACCTTACCCCTGGACACTGCAGTCCCCGTCGTGAGGTCTCTAACGCGCATGATGGCGTCCACCGTGGAGCGCCCTCTGCGGAAGCCGAACTGGCCGTCCGACAAGTCCGGCCCAATGTCCGTCAGGTGCGCGACGAGGCGGTTCGAAATGATTCTTTCGAAGACTTTCCCCACCTCGTCGAGCAACACTATGGGCCGGTACGCGGACGGAGAGTCCGCAGGGCGCCCCGTCTTCCGCACGAGGACCAGTTTTCCCGCTTTCCAGAGAAGCGGGAACTGGCCTCTCTCTCTCCAGACATGCGCTGTAGAGAACTTTTTAGGCCATATACCCTATATAACACTGGACTATTTTTATACATTGGCCAAGACTTCAGAATTCTAAACCCTTCCTATTGTCAAAAAAAAAAAATGAAGAACCTAAATAGTAGTTTACCGAACACGAGACCTCTAGTGCGGCACCAATGACAGGCCAGGTGTATTATAATGTTCACAAAAAAAAAATTATTTACAGATCCATCTATTAGCTAAATAATGAAAACCTTTTACTTTGTATTTTGTAATACAATACGTGACCTTGAAAACTCAGGCGGTCATATACTAATCAAAATGTAAGAAACTTTTACGACTGAAGACTTCATAAAAAGTTAAATAAAAATAAAAAAACCGAAAGCTTATCTTTCAGTGACGAAGTGAAATTGAAATTATGTATTATGTCCCTTGTGTCGTGGTGACCCGGAGGTTTAAGACGCCCGCTTCTCATGCATGAGGGTGCGGGTTCGAAACCTACCAACGGCAAGTACCAATGTGACTTTTACTGAGTTATATATACTTTCTAAGATTATTTAAACACCACTGACAAACGGTGAAGGAAAAACATCGTGAGGAAACCTGGACTTAAAATTTCTAATTATAAGTTTGAAATCGTCAACCCGCATTGAGCAAGCGTGGTGATTAATGCTCAAACCTTCTCCGTGTCAGAAGAGGCTTTGCTCAGCAGTGGTCATTTATAGGCTGTTGATGAGATGATGATTGTGTCCCTTCGATGTGTATTTGTCCTGTATGTATGAATGCGATTATCCATCAGAATCTACTAATACAATGACAATGTACAAGCCACTTATTTTTTGGCGTGAAATATAGTTTTTTGTTCTTTCTATCTCGCGGTTGGTTGAACCGAATTTGATTCGGGTTTCAGAAAAGTGTTGGTTCTACTTAGGAGTATTTTTTGTATATTAATTAAATGACTTTATTAATTAAAAAGAGGGGTTTGGAGTTGGTTTTTGTAGACATAGTTTATAATAGAATGAATCAGTTAAAGATAATTTTGTAGCTAAAACCTCTATTACTCAATAGAATAAAAAAAATCACTTGAAGTAAAATTATAGACTTAATTGCAGACGTCTTTTACTTATAGTAATGAGAAAGATCACTAAACCTAGTGTTGAAACATATTAAATATTCAAATAATAATTTATATTTGATAATTTTAATAATATCCCCTTATTTGGCTGATTTTTGTGGTTGTAGCGTTCATTGCATTCATATAACCGCAATTTATAAATTCAAAACTGTTGCTTCAAACATGACTTGACTTCTATTGACTGTAACCACTTCATTGCGGATACTAATAATATTGTATCACGCAATATTCATGCCCTTATTTTTTCAATAATCGGCTATCATGGAAAACACGTCTTAAAAAACTGTAGTTTGGTACACAAAAAAATTAATTAGATACAAAAATTTACTAAAAATGTCGACACAAAAATTATTTTTTTCATTACGCACCTACAAAAAGTGAGAAATCAAACAAAAAAAATTAAACGACTCCAAAAACAATTCCCCATTCACAAACAACCGAACGGCCGGGTTAAAAAAAACAAGCAAAAAGAAACTTTATACTATTAAATAAACAACTGAATATTGTACTTACATGATCTTCCCTTAACACACAGAGTAATTGAACGGAATCAATTAATATACAGGATGGTTCTATTTTCAAAGTGGACTGGCTACACGCGAGCTCGGTAGCGGTGTTGGCGCAAAGTGTGACTGGAGTCGGCCGCAGTAACATCGCGCACAAAATGGCTTCGGGCGAGCTTTTTGGCAAAAGATACAAAGTTTTTCTTTTCAGTTATTGACGTTGTTTATCTTTAAAAGTTCACGTTGAACAAGTCAAATTCTGGGTAAAGATTTTGTGCGTATTTTTGTAATAAATTGGGGTGTGAGGTATTTCTGTTGTTGGAAGTGAACTTTATCTCGATTTTACAAAGAATTATATTTTGTTTCTAGGCATAAACTAGGTCACAAATGTACCTAACATAATTTTATAAGTTTTCGTAACAGGTAAATGAAACATTTCTACACACATAGTTATTAATGTTATTTTTGACTTAGTTTTATAAGTATGATTAAAAATAACTAGGTATTACCTACATTTTGTACATTTTATTTCTCGACATATTATATTATTACAATTCAACTAAAACAAATAAAAACAAAACCATTAAAAAATAATTAATTTCAACAAAAGCTACCGAGCACAACGACTTTTCTCACTACCAGTACTTGCGAGCTTTCCGCCACGCATGCGCGGCACTGCGTGTGTGCACCCATCGATTTCCCCTACTTGTGGGGTAGGTCTGGGGTTCGCTGCACGTGTCGCATTCACCTCCACCTTATCAATGGAGTATAGTACTTGTAGATATAGTTTCTGAACATTAATGAGAGCACCATTGAAGCTTTGTGTGAATGCACCTTTACTTAGTTAGTGTTCAACTATCTGGTGGAATAACATGGGAATTTTATCTAAATATTTTATGTAGGTTTAATTATGTTTTCTTTGGGAATAGTAAAGGAGTTTTCGATCGAAAAGTTTTATTTAAATAAGTTATTATACCTACGTAATTCAGTCATAGTACCTACATTTTGGTTAATATTATAAGGCCATTGTTCTAAGAGGAACTGTCGAGGTCTAAACATCTCGGGTTCAATTTTTGGGTCGAGAAACGTATTTTTGAGCATTTCAGTTTTGGAAAATTCTCACTAAATGCAATGACAAATTGTCTTCTGTAGACTTTAATGCAGATTTGTAGTATTAACTCGTCGAGTACCGGTTTTGTAGACACAATTATAGAACAATAGGTTGCGGTCACCGGTGACCGCTTGGTGTTTGACAGTTTAAGGGATGGGAGTTCAAATATAAATATATACCTGATCAAAGTAATCAAACAGTAAGACGAGGACAGTTTAAATTACTTATAGTCTTGAACGCTAAGTCAAAGTTGTCTAGGAATATTAAGGTATTAGGTACTACAATTTGCTGAATACTGCGGCATTGGTTCCAGGCTTAATTTTCAGCCTTCGTGACTACGAATTGATTTCCAGATTAGGGTCTCACAATTAATTTGCGGACAAAAATAGAAGTAATACTTAGGTACTGCAACTTATTACTTTAACAAATACTTTATTTAAACTAACACTGTGAGGACACCGGTGACCGTAACCTATTGTTCTTTAAACTGTCAAACGCCAAGCGGTCACCGGTGACCGCAACCTATTGTTCTATAATCGTGTCTACAAAACCGGTACTCGACGAGTTAATTGTGTCTATAATGATGGTACTCAAAGGTTTAAACTAAACGAAAAAGTGTCTCTAACTAGCATAGTTACAGGGTTTAGTTTGATTTTGTGATGATTTCCTACTTAACGCTTCGTCTTATACCTCTACAAACTTCTGTAAGTTAATAGTTTGAGGAACATAAAGGACAGATTTTTTTTATAAGGTCGTTGCTCCACACTATTGGGAATAGCTAAAGATCGCTATTAACAAAAATGACACCGAATGCGAATGCTGATAGTGATTTTTGTTTATTTTAATTTACTACTTAGTTTCTCTCTCCGGTCGTGCCCTCATTACTGAAGATCGTGATCATTCTGGCATCAATCGGGATCGGACGAATTGTCTCCATCGGCTCCTGTCTGTGTCCATTTGTTTGGTGGTGTAGAACCTCGATGCTGGGATATCTTTGAGCTGATCAGACCATCTGGTTAGAAATCGTTCTCCGCTCAATATTTGACGACAATGAGTTTCTCCAAGCTATTCCCTTCACATCTCACTATATGTATAAAATAGCTCATTATCCAAAGGCCTTTGGAGAGTGGAGAAATTGTCTGACTATAAGTTGCGATAATATTGAGGCACTGATTCTCAATACCTTTTTTAAATTAAAAAGGTGAACATCAAACGTTGGGTTGAGTTTTGTTTTTTTTTATTTTAGTTTTTTTTTGTAATTAGTAATTAGCGTCAAGCGTGTCTTTGCATTGTTCTCACATATACGTATAGTATTGGAATATGTATCAGAGACATTGTAGAATATACTTTTTTTAAAAGAGTAACGAATGGAGTTGGAATGAGCACCTAACTTCACCTAGCTTCACTGACGGACTGACTGACAGACTATTATTTATTTTTATTTCTTGACGTTTCAAAAGTACCAAATTATGGTTTAATATACCTCGTGTGTTCATAAGTTTTGAGACAAACTTTTTGCTTATAAAAACAAAATAAAAATTACTGGATGCTGTATATTTCTTTTTCTAATTTTGAATTTGGAATGTTAACTTTTAATATCTATGATTTCGGATTATTTTATTTAAATTTTCTCGTAATGGAGGGAACAAAAGAATTACGTGCGACCGTCATTTCATTATTTAAGGTGGGAAGAAAACCTATTGACATTTTCCGAGAACTGAAATCCGAGTTTTGGTGTGAGCCGTAACTTCGTGTATTACACTATTAAACGATACCAGGAGACAAGTTCTTTACATGATCGGCAAAGAAGTGGTCGTCCACGCTCTGTGAGGACGCCTGCGAACATTAAAATCATCCGAGAGCGACTTCGCCGAAATCCATGTCGCACTCAGAAGAAACTCGCTCTGCAGACCAATATTTTGCGCGTTTCAGTCAACAGAATACTGAAATATGATCTCAAGGTTAAGGCGTATAGCCGTAGAAAAGTACACTTTTTAAACGATCGCCTTCGTCAATTGCGACGCGAACGTTGTCCAATACTTCTTAGGAGACACGATGCGAGGAAGATACTCTTCACCGACGAGAAAATCTTTACCGTCGAAGAAAAGTTCAATCGACAAAACAATAAAGTGTATGCCAAAAGTAGCAAGGATGTCCCACCTTCAGCACGGAATGTCTCGCGTACTCATCATCCGGCTAGTGTCATGGTATGGTGGGGAGTTTCGTACGAAGGTGTCACTCAGCTTCATTTCTGCCAACAAGGCGTCAAGGTGAAAGCCAAAAATTATCAAAGTGACAAGCTAGAGACTGTTGTGAAACCCCTGTCTAATACCCTATTCCATAACAAGTATTGGGTTTTCCAGCAAGACTCGGCGCCATCCCATAAGGCTAAAACCACCCAAGCTTGGCTGAAGGAAAATGTGCCGGCCTTCATTGCGGCGAACGAGTGGCCCTCCTCCAGCCCCGACCTCAACCCGCTGGATTATTCTCTATGGACCGAATTAGAGCTCAGAGCCTGCCGAAAGTCCCACCCAAACTTGGAGTTACTTAAGCGAGCTCTTGTCCGAGAAGCGAAGCGAATTCCTCTGGAAAAGATTCGTGCCGCCATTGATGACTGGCCAAATCGTCTAAGGGCATGTATTAAAAACAGGGGTGGTCATTTTGAATAATAGTTATATTTAATTTTTACTTACGATATACTTAATGTTTGTTATTGTTTTTATAAATATAAGTTTATTATTTAAAAAGATATGCAACTTTTAATTTGTCTCAAAACTTATGAACACACGAGGTATATAAATGCTTTGACTTAGACTTTGTTCATAACAACGAAATACCTTGCTCTCACTCAAACCACAATAAGAAAAGTTTCAACGAAATTTCGACCAAAAATATTTACAATGCTTTACTTTTGCCCACATTAAGTCAGTTTGCTAAGTACTTGGAAACATCCATAGCAGGTTGTATGCCACCTAGACGCCGCGCCGTGGACATAAGTACGCGTTCAATGCACACCGCACGTACTACACAATAAAACAATACCACGAGTATACTTAGTCATATTATGAAAGAAACAAGTGGACTGAATTACAATGACGTCAAAATTCATATTACCTCGCTTATTGTTTGTATAATTTTTTTAAATAGTTTTTGTATTTATTGGCAGACCTGAAGTAAAATGTAGAGCTGTATTTTGGTTACGATTATTTTTCGATCTGTTGTGTTCAAGTAAATTACCTATGTTACATTTATTTGAAAAGAAACAAAACAAAAGTACAGCAGAATAAAATTTTAGCAATGTGTAATAGTCGTTTATTTTAGTATACTTCTACTACTACTTCCATTTCATTTTCATAAAAATAGAATGTAAATATTTTCCCATTCACATAATTTGCGGAATTCTGATTTAGTCTCCATGAACCATATCCATATAAATCCAATGCATGATAAATACATTAAATATAAATTTTATAAGCCCATTAAAATTAGGGCGGTCGGGCCGCGAGCAAATTGTTGTGAGCGTCGGCGCAGCGCTCAAAGGGCGCCGGCTAATCAATTGCTTTGGACCAACTCTTGCGCACCACACACAAACAGAAACTTGTGTAAGTTGGGAATCGTTGTGTTGTTAAAACTGTTGTGTAAATAAGGGTTAAGTTTTAAATTAATGATAAATATTTGTGTATCTTTAAGTAAAAAAAAATCTTACTGTCAATGATAATAATTCAATTTCAGGTCTTCATAATACGAATATATCTATAACTAAGATTAGAACAACGAAAATAGATTTCAAATTTCATTTAAATTCATTTTGAAACGGATCGAGTAGCAATCCTAAATATTCAATTGTCGACTTACCTACCTTTCTTTATTCAACGGTTCCTTCATACAACGCTACATCGCCGACTCTTCATTTATTTTATTAGCCGCAGTCCGCGAGGCATCGTAAGTCATTCGTCTAATACATTTATTTATTTCTACCATATCTTTAATTACGTGGACTT